CCCCATTTATAGAGGAAACAGGTAGTGTTTTTTTGTTTGCATTTATCCCCACTTTATGGATAAAGACAACGAACGTTAGAGAATTAGAGAGATGTTCTCCTGGACACGTTGCTTGGAACTGGTAGATATGGAATTAAAACTCTTGTGGTCTGACACTGATGGACAGTTTTATGTGTCAACTTGGCCAAGATGTAGACAGCAGTTATTCAACCAAACATTGTCTGAAGGTAAGAGATGTAGGATGATCTTTCTAAGGCCATAGCTTGGCTTGCAAGAACATTGTTATACTTCCAATTCCTGTTTTTGACACATAGGCCCTCGTCCATTCCTTCTTGAGTTCCTCCTGTAACATTTCTGTTACAAGTTTCCCACCCCGAAACATACACCTTTTTCCTGAACTCACTGGGGAGATGGTTATGTTTCCAGAAGCAGGGTAGAAACAAAGAGCATATTAATAGCATCCAAAAATATGAACTTATTCTAAGATTCGTGGAGTATTTCCTAAGTGCTGTTTCTGGGTTATTTTTATTGAATCCTCAGACCAGTAAATTACAAATCCACATATGAGATTTGTCATTTACAGACTATACTCCCTCCGGTCCACATGAAAGCTGCAAAACCATATTTAATACAAGATTATATAAGTTGATGCTCACTATTTGTGAATTCCATAATTTGCAAATTTGTGTATTTGCTGAAATTTATTTGTAACCCCCAAATCAATACATGTTTTTGTGGTCATTTGCGGACATGAACAGAGTGAGGAAAATCTGAGTCTCCCAACGTGCATGTCCCCAGCTGGGGATGAACAAGGTGATGCCTGTCTTCTTGTTTTGGCTCTTCTGCTATGACTAAATGTCCTTTTTGCAGCCTTATTGACCACCACGATTTTCGATTTGTGTGCATTTCTTCGGTGGTTTCACTCTCTAAGGTGGCCTTCAAGCGTCATGCTGAAGAGCTGTGTAACGTTTCTAGGTATGAGAAGGTTGGGAGGTGTCTCACATGTATTATTAGATAAGGTTCACTTAAGCTTGAGGTATAGCTCTGTTGGCCTAAAGTTCAGTGCGAATCAATCAACAGTATAAGGTGTCTTTAAATAGAAACACGCATGAAACAAGGGTATGTGTTGACGGGTGGACAAAAATGTGTCCAGCAGCTGGCAGAAAGCTAACCCTGTCTTTCCCCTAGAAGCAGTGATCCATTCTTGTCATTGCATGGTTTGGGGTGGCTTTATAGAACATAACTACCATGAATAACAAGAATGGAATGCATTTCTCTATGATCTTGCTTTCCTTAATTAGTTAATTTGTTAAATACTCAGTGTTTTACTGTCAAAGGACATAGATTCTCAAAGGGACAAAAAATGGTTCTTGATGGGGGGGAGAACCCCATTTAATGTAAAAAGCAGAGGTATATACGCAGTGCATAACATATATAGTATATTGGTGGTATTACAATATCTTTTGGGGTAATTGGGAGAAATGTCTAACAAGGTTCCTTGGGGGGGAGGGCAGTAATGAAAAAGTGATTGCAAAACATAGCCGCAGGGCACAGTCAATATGTGATGAAGAAAGTATTTACTAGGCTACACAGCGCAGTATACATAGCTGTTATTATTAATATCATTGATAATATTATTTGTTTTCTTAGCCTCTTCCCATTCTTCATAGACCAGCATTTCTTAAATTGGAGTTTGTGGTCCCCTGAGGGGGTCTGCATTCTGTTTTCAGACCTGTCTGAGAATTTCCTCTAGAATTTATTTTGCTTTGGGCTTTCGTTTTGATGACAGGCATGAAAATAATAAATCGTTGTATCCTGGTTCCCCTTTATGGATGAGTCCTGCCACAGGATTTCATTGTCCAAGTTTATGCCTATCTTTTAAGATAGGAGTTCTATTTCAATGCCTAGGGGCCAATAAGGAATAAAAGAGGAGAAGACTTAAAGATCATGAGTAAAACAGACGGAGTGAAGGCCCAGTGACCTGTCTTCCTGCTCTGGGAGGGAGGACTCCCGATTCTGGATGGAGAAAAGTGGTGCTCAGCTGAGCCCTCACACGGGCCAGGGGGAGCACGGACATGCCCTAACCCAGAGAACATTCGCTTTCGCAGCCGGTACTGTGTTAACATTTTGAAAGGCAATTTAATCTCTGCAAAATAACATCATCTGCCACGTGAAATTAATGCCGTTAATTTGAATTTTATGGGCTTTCTTGTTTTCGTGTTCAATGTGTTACTTTGTTTTGGTCTCATTGTTGAATCAGGGTTAAAGCGTATGGAGTTTATTTCTAGCTTTCCATTTGTGCATTGCTAAATACCAATATACTAAAAATAATGTAAGTCTCCATCAGTGGTGGGCAATAATGCTTTTTGCCATATCAAAGGGAGTGTTGGCATTGCTCGGGTTTAAGGAGCACTGTGAGGGACTCCTAGGATCACAGATTATCCAAGCTGCTGGGAATCAGTCCACCCATCTCTCTTACCACATGTGGACACTGAGCCTCCTGGAGGAGAAATGAGTGGCCAAGGCCAAAAACGAGTAGGGGCTGACTGAGGTCTGAGAGCAGGTCGGCAGGCTTCAAACTACACACCCCATCCAACGTGTCAACCCTGTCCAAAGGTGGAGCGTGGCAGATAAATGGCGACCACTGCCAGGCCACAAAATTGGGCTAGACACAAACTCATGGAGAGTTATGCGTCACCTTGGCTAACTCTGAGCGCGTAAGATGGGAAATGGGCCGGGACAACTGGAATGACAGACTTGTTTCAGAGTCAAGAGTCACAGTGAACAACGGGCATTGCTGAAAGGAGACAACAGCCTTTTGACTTCCCTGCTCAGGTGATATCACCCATGAACTTGGCTTGTTCCAGTACTCTCAACATTCACAAGCAAATCCCCGAAGCTCCTAAGTTGAAGTGCCTTTGTACTTTCTACTCTGTTTTTAGATGTGACTGCACTCCACGAAACTAGGGCACGTATCACTGCGCAGGGAACGTGTTTCTCAGTTGCATGTAAGGGTTTTGATCCTAACTTGCTAAGCGAGAAGAGCGCATTTGTGATAGAATTGGATGGTCATTATATTAGTTTTCTATCGCCGTGTGACAAGTCACCACAAACTTCAGAGCAGCGGAACACAGGATACATCTATTATCCGACAGTTCCCTGGGGATGGAATTCTGGGCCAGGATCTGCTGGGAGCTTTGTTCAGGATGTCACAGAGATGTAGTCAAGACATTGGCCAGGGCTGTGGCTCCTCTGAGGCTTGGGGTCTCTTCCATGCTCATGCAGGTGTTGGCCGAATTCGTTTCCCTTGCAGCGGTAGAACTCACAGCTGCTTGCTTCTTTGGGGCCAATGGGCAGGGTCTCTTTCCTCTAGACGCTTGGAAAGAGCTTACCTATTTAGGCCAGGCCCACCCAGGATGATCTCCCTTTTGATCAAAGCCAAGTGATTGGGGAATTTAATTGCATCTTCAGCACTCCCTCATATTTACCTTATTTGTTGCTTAGAGGTTACAGGTTCTACCCACGCTCAAGGGAACTAAGGACATGCCATGAGCACCAGCTAACTTAGCCTGTTGAAGTTGCTACAACAAAATACCATAGGGGCGCCTGGGTGGCTCAGTCTATTAAGCTTCCGACTCTTGATTTTGTCTTGGGTCATGATCTCAAGGCTCATGGGTTGGAGCCCTGAGTCTTGATTTCAGCTCAGGTCATGGTCTCATGCTTGATCAGTTTGAGCCCCGCATCAGACTCCGCACTGACAGTGGGGAGCCTGCTTGGGATTCTCTGCCCCCCTCTCTCTGTCCCTCTCCTGCTTCTGCTGTTTCTCTCTCTCTCAAGATAAATAAATAAATACATAAACAAACAAACAAACTTTATTTTAAAAATACCATAGGCTAGTGGTTTATAACAACAGAACTTTAGTTCTTACAGCCCTGGTGGCTGAAAAGCCCAAGATTGAAGTGATCGAAGTGTCTGGTAAGACCCTTCTCCTGGTTCACAGATGCCTGTCTTTCTCCAGTGTCTTCATAACATGGAAAGACCAAGGGAGATGTCTGGCGTCTCTTTTAGTCTCATTCATGAGGGCTCCACCCTCATGATCTAATACCCTTCGAAAGGTCCCATCTCCTAATACCATCCCATTGGGGGTTAGGTTTTAAGATGAATTGGTGTTGGGGGGTGGGCGGTCGGACACGTTCCGTCTGTAGCAGGTACCACGCGAGTTATCTTAGAATTCTGCTCACTGCCAGTCACTGGCACTTCCTTCATGAGGCCGTGAGTCAGCTTCGTATTTTCAGACTTTTGTGTGACATTTTGAGAATGTTTAGCACTATTAATGTATATGTTTATTTTAAAAGTTAGAAGAATAGGGGCGCCTGGGTGACAGTCGGTTAAGCGTCTGACTTCGGCCCAGGTCATGATCTCACAGTTGGTGAGTTCGAGCCCCGCCTCGGGCTCTGTGCTGACAGCTCAGCGCCTGGAGTCTTCTGCAGATTCTGTGTCTCCCTCTCTCTGCCCCTCCCCCCGCTTGTGCTCTGTCTCTCTTGCTCTCAAAAATAAATAAACATAAAAAGAAAAGATGCCACAACTATTTGGAGCTAGCAGGCTCTTACTGTTTGGGTAATGCCTCATTCTTAGATGTGCTTTTGTCCTTTGCTGGGAAATGTATAGTTTATAGTTGCAAATAAAAAATTAATGCCGTGGATGTGTTTCCCACATGTCCTTACTTATTCACGTGCATGCCAAAATGAAATTACGTTATCGTATGTTTTATAATCTTGTCTGAGTTTACAGTCAAGCCATATTATAATGGGGCTTTAGTTCCACTCTTACATGGGTCAGATATTTAATGCATAAGGCAGGAAACCTAATAAACTCCATACTTGGTATTATGGCTCCTTTCTTGGAAACAAGTGATATGGCTTGGTATGGGACAGAGTAGAAGGCATGGTCCGGTTCTGAAATCACAAAACTCAAAAGCTGCTCATTCCTGTTTTCTCCAGGCAAAGGCAGCTCAAGCATCTCATCCGACGTGAGTTCAAGTACAGATCACACGCCGACCCAAGCCCAGAAGAATGTGGCTACCAGTGAAGGTAGGCATCTGGTCTTCATTATCTCTCTCCCTGTGTTCACAGTGCTGGCTATTTTTGGAAGACAAATAAAATGTGTGAGTCTCAGTTCTGTTCTACCGAGTGGGAGCATATGAGATTCTTAAAAATGAGAAGGCGGAGGGTTTCTCGAGTTTCTTTTTTGCTGCTTTGCTGCTGCTGCCCGATAAAGGGGTTTCCATAGGATTTAAGTGTCTCAATTCTAAGGCAGTGCTGTTATTTTGTGAATATATAATAGGTTCACTTTGGGCGAGCCTCCGTGATGTTATAGATCCTGTTTTTCAGTGTGGAAAACACTAGGATTGTCAAATTCTTGTGCTGTAGTGGAAAGTTCCCGGAAGAGCTTTCAAAATAGGCACACTCGGAATTCAGGATTTTGGCAACGGAAGGTCACGATCATGTGATTTGTAGAATTTGAACTAACCAATATTTGGAAGTAGGAAAAGAGATTTGTTTGATTACGTAAAGAATAAGTGGAAAGTCCTGCCTCTCAGGACAAAGAGTCGTTCCACTGATGGTCTTGATACAGAATTTCACTATATGTACTAACAGATGTTGGAATTAATTGCTTTGCGTAGTCCGGAAGCTTTTGTGTCATTACTTGGGTGTGGAAATGACTGTTCCTGTGGTAGTTAGTTAGTGGCTGGTTGACCCAGTTATGGAATTAGTTGTTTTTATTTTAATGTGAAACACAATTAAGTGAGTTCTTTTTTTTTCTGAAGAAGAGTTCTTTCTAAATTAATTGTTGAACGCAGGTCCAGTGTAAGACATCTGTGAGGTGTCGGCTGATTTTCATTACAGGGTGTGCAGCCTGCTTCCTTGAAGTGTGCAGGGTGTGTGGGAGTACATTTCCAGGCTTTGTTTGGAGGCTTCATTTAAGCTGCTTGCAATATTGGGAAGCGTACCCTTGACCTGATGTTGGTTGCTCCTGTATGACAGCGTGTGCATGAACGACGATGGCTGGTCTCTGCTGTGCGTGTTTCCTCTTTGGGTATTCTTTGACTTGCTGTGTTTCAAATGGCTGACATATAAAGAGATTTTATAACGGGTTATATTCCCTGGTGTTTAAATGCCTCAGCGTTGTTTTACCAACATGGTAAGGCGAACAGAGTGGGGTGTTCTTCTCAGAGCAGCGAAGCACCAGGTAGAAATCCAATTTTAATTTTCTGCCTGTTAATTCAAATACGAGCATTAGGTCATTCTTGAAATTCAATTAAGGTAATGGGCAAGTCAAGTAAATTGATTCTAGACATTTGCTTTTGAGGCCTCCGTTCTTAGGAGCCCGAGTGGAAATCACTTCAACATAACTAACTGATTTACGGTCTTCTGTAATCAAAAATATACGTTTTTGTAAGGTGATCACTTCTTTCCATCGTGATTACAGTTAATTTTGTCGTAGTCGTAGTTTGGCTAATTTGAGTGGCTGTGAAAATAGAAAGTTAAGACTTTACGTTGATAATCCCTGTGTGTTTCTGTCTCCAGATTTAAGTTCTTGTATTACTCTTTGCTCTTTTCAAAAAATGGAAAATACAAAACTGTATGGACATTGGTGAAAGGGTTGGGGGAAGGGACTGTGGGGCTTCATGCATTAAAAATGTCTGCTTTTTATGCTTCAAAAAAACCCCCGACTCCACAGGGATTTAAAATTTTCATTTTATTCTGCCTTTTCCTTAGGAAGATTCTTTTGATGCAGGCCCAGCCAGTGTTTTATATATTTTTGTCACAATGCATTTTCTACCATTCTGAGAGTAAATTCAGGAGAAAAATGGGAAAATTCAATGTTCAGGTGAAATCATTTTTAGCGATGGAGCTAAATTAATACCACTGTTTTTTCCAGCTCTTAAGTGACTGGACCCCATCCCTATGAGAGATGCTGTCCATTTTTTTTTGCATGTCTGCAAAATTAAGTGTTTTTTAGTATTTCTATGTATGAATCCATTTTGCACTGTTTTTTAATCAATGAAACAAAAACGTATTTTATTTATTTATTTTTTTTTAAAATTTTTTTTTTTCAACGTTTATTTATTTTTGGGACAGAGAGAGACAGAGCATGAACGGGGGAGGGGCAGAGAGAGAGGGAGACACAGAATCGGAAACAGGCTCCAGGCTCTGAGCCATCAGCCCAGAGCCCGACGCGGGGCTCGAACTCACGGACCGCGAGATCGTGACCTGGCTGAAGTCGGACGCTTAACCGACTGCGCCACCCAGGCGCCCCCAAAAACGTATTTTAAAATGAATTCGGCATGGGTATGTATCATTTACAATTAAAATGCATCGTAGGGAGGTTTGCTGCAGAACGGTCTCACTATCAGCCTGGTTTTTCAAGATGGGAGCACAACAGTAATGCTAATTTTCTCAAAGCGCGGGTGACAGAATCCTGATCCACCTCTCAGGATTAGGGTGTCACCTTCTGTGACCTCCAGAGTGGATTTCGCCAGTCGTACACATGTTTGCTCCTACTAGAAAGCACCCGGTGACCACGGTGTGCGGTGTGCTGGCAAAGAGACAGAGACTGGACGCCGGTGTCTTCCATGTGCCACAGAGGAGCCAGTTAAAAAATGCTTCTCTGCTTCTCTTCCCACCATTTCGAGAACTGTGTTTAACCTGTCTTGTTAATATTGGGTGAGTGGTGTAACTGGCTTTCCAGAAGCGGTTTGACTATCGTCATTTTCTCCCACGGTTGATCATCTTAAGGTTGTTTTCCCTCTGAATTTCCCGATATCCTCTTCAAGAAACACAGGCAGGATCATCAGTTTCAAGGTCTGAGTGATAGCGATTTATAAAAATGGGGTATGTGGTGACCATATTCAGTTTTACTGCAGCCTTTGAAAGCCGTGGCCACACCGGTAATAGCTGGGTTGGAAGCCTTTTGGAGCAGAGCTGGACCTTTCCCTGTTGGGCTGGATGGGGAAGGTATCACGTCAATTTCCCGGCCAGCGTGGAGCGTGTGCACGCACAGGCGCCTTTGTGCCCAGCCTCCACCAGACGGCGGACTGCAGAGTCATCGTCTCCTACTGGGAAGCGTGTAGGTAACCCATGCGATGCCTGTTGGCACATGAACTGAGGACGTGGGAGCTGAGGAGAGGGAAGGGCACTCACATAACATGCGCTTCCCTGGGGCTGGTGGTAGAGATGGTCACTGACTGTGACAGACACGAGGGACTTACTAGGGAGATGACAGGGTTCTAAAATTGGATCGTGGTGCAAGTTGCACAGCACGGTACATTACTAAAACTCACTGAAGCATACACATGACAGGGGAGTTGGGAGTTGTGGCTTCTGCATGACCTGAAGACTGCCATCTAAATCATCACGAACTATTCTTTGAAAAATGCTGCCTCTCACCTCTGGGAAGAAGTCCGGAACAAGGCTGAGAAGACCCCTTAGGAGCATGGATCTTGGCCATCCAAAGTGCAGGGCTGCTGGCCGAAAGCTTCTCCTGAGATGCTCTGGCCTTGGGGCCAGAACAGCCCTGAAAGCATCATGAGGAGTCCCTGGACGAGTAGTGTTCACAGCCCAGAGCGTGGTGTCTGGTCAGAGTGGACTCCTCAGAGAACATACTCTCCTGGAAAGTTCTGCAAGACATGAGAGATGATAGACCCACAAGTTTCTCAAAACCCCTTTTTTTTTTTTTTAAGCTTTTCCTGAAGAGTCTCTAACTTTAGCTTAGATATATGTTTTGAGCCACCAAGCCTAATGGTTGAGACATCGGTCACATTTACTGACTCTAATCAGTGTAAGGACTTATGTCCTTGCTGTCTATCTGTTGTTCCCACTCATTCACTTTGGGTCATAAGGCTCCTCTCCTATGCATGATGGGCACAGATGGTGATACAATTTGGTTTCAATCCAACAGACAGTGGTATTTTTTACCTAAGTGGTAGCCTTCCATTCCAAAATCTCTTGCGAAAGCTTCGTGCATTTTAATTTTGTGATTCTAAAGCCACACCCCTATTAAGGAATTGGCAGCCTGCAGTGCTTTCTCCTTGATAAATGGTATAGGCCTTCTTTAAAGCCCATTATATTTCATGTGACAGTTTAAGTTCCTGATTTCCTGACACTGTAGGGGGTTTGGGTTCAAGTGTAGAAAGCTGGAAACGTTCCATTTTTCCCAACAAAATCTGCATTCCAGCTTCGTAAGCCACGGCTTAATTCTTTCCAGTTGTGTTGCTATTCTTTCTCTTATACTTTTTTTTCCTCCAGTCTTTCTCATCCACGGGTGTTCTCTTTTGTACTGGAAGCAATGGCCTTTGACTTTCAGCTATGAAAGCCACATCCAGCCCATGGCTGGAAGAGCACACATGGATTGTGAAGAAGCTTCCTAGGAATAGTAAGCTGCGCTGGGGCTTCTTTCTCAGAACAGGGTTATGACTGTGTGGCTTTAGTGGCGGCCTCTCAACAACTCAGACATCTCTTGAGCTGGAGGAAGGTGACACAGTTTAGTTCAAAGGCCAAATGTAATTGGCTGAGGAAGAGCCAGCTTCCTCCAGCTGCTCTCTAAAGATATTCAAGTTCAGATATTGAACTCACTGACAACACAATTTATAGGTGCGATGGCTTATAAATGTCGTTATCAAGCCAGCCAAATATGGAATCATAGGATTTTTAGAGCTACAAAGCTTTGGCAGTTTTCTGATCTAATACACTTGTTTTACAAAGAAATCCCTGCGGCACAGAGAAATAAAGAGATTTGCTCAATATTACACACCTAATAAATTGTGGAGCAGGAGTTTGACCCAGTATGGTTTTGGTGAGAGATGGTCAAATCAGGAAAAAGCCTAACCTTTAAAAAAGTTGCTGCCTTCTTTTTTTTTTTTTTTTTAATTTTATTTTTTTTCAACGTTTTATTTTATTTTATTTTTGGGACAGAGAGAGACAGAGCATGAACGGGGGAGGGGCAGAGAGAGAGGGAGACACAGAATCGGAAACAGGCTCCAGGCTCTGAGCCATCAGCCCAGAGCCTGACGCGGGGCTCGAACTCACAG